ATAAGGTTAGAAAGAGGTGAAACTGGACAATGCAATCCCTCTCATTGTAAGTGAAGATCAGGTTCGCGACCATTTGAAGAATATGAACATCCAGAATTCTATGGGATGAGATGCATCTGATGAGATGCATCCCAGAGTCTACAGGGCATTGGCTGATGTAGTCACCAAGCCACTCTGGATGAAATTTGAAAAGTCTCAGCAGACAGCTGAGGTCCCTGTGGACTGGAAAAAAGGCAATGTTGCACCCATTTTTAAGAAGACTGAATAAAATGATCTAGGGACCTGTTAGCCTCATCTCAGTACAGGGAATATCATGGAGCAGATCTCCTGGAAGCTATGGTAAGTCCTGTGGAAGAGAAGGAGGTGGTATGAGACAACCAGCATGGCTTCACTAATGGCAAGTCCTGCCTGATTTAGTCCATGCCTAGTCCAACCTAGTGGACTTCTATGATGGTATAACTGCATCAATGGACAAAGGAAGAGTCACTGATGTCATCTGTCTGGACTTCGGTAAGGCCTTTGACAGAGTCCCCTACAACATCCTCCTTAAATTTGAAAGGTATGGATTTGGTGGGTGGACTGTTCAATGGACAAGGAACTATCTGCAAGATGGTGCCCAGAGAACGGCAGTCAATGGGTCAGTGTCTGGGCAGAGACCAGTGACAAGTAGTGTCCCTCAGGGGTCATTAATAGGATTGATGCTCTTTAACATCTTCATCGACATTGGGATTGAGTGCCCTCCTCAGCAAATTTGCAGATGACACCAAACTTGCAGCTGACACATCTGAGGAATGGGATGCCATCCTGAGAGACCCAGACAAGCTTGAGAACTTCATAAGGTTCAATAAAGGCAAGTACAAGGTCTTGCACCTGGGTCATAGCAACCCCCACTATCAATGCAGGATGAGAGATTAAGGGATAGAACATATCCTACCAAAAAGGACTCGGGGGTACTGATGGACGGCAAGCTGCATGTGAGTTTAGCAATGTACCCTTATAGCTGAGAAAGCAAACCATATTCTGGGTCAGATCAAAAGAAGCATGGCTTGCAGGGTAAGAGAGATGATCCTGCCCCTATACTCTGCAATGGTGAGACCTCACATGGAGTACTGTGTCCAGATGTGGAGTCCTCAGTACAGAAGTGACATAGACCTGTGGGAGTGCATCCAGAGGAGGGCCACAAAAATAATCCAAGGGATGGAACGCCTCCCCTACAGAACAGGCTGAGAGAGCTGGGGCTGAGAGCTGAAAGCCTGGAAGAGGCTCTGGGAAGACCTGATAGCTGCCTTTCAGTATCTAAAGAGGGCCTATAAGAAAGGAGAGGACAGACTCTTTAGCGGGATGTGTTGGACACAGGACAAGGAGAAATGTTTTCAAACTAAAAGAAGGGAGATTTAGATTGGATACAAGAGAAATGTTTTTTATTATAAGGGTGGTGAGGCGCTGGAACAAGTTGCCCAGACTGGCGGTGGTGTGTGGTGTTGAAGTAGTTATAGCAGGGAGCAATTAGCTGAGCCCTTCAGTTGTGCTCATGTATGCAGACAGGATCAAGCTTCTTTGCAGAGAAGGCTGCTGTTCACAAGCTTTAATCTATCTATCCTGGTTGACATGTTGTTAAGTTGTGACATTCTAAGTCCTCACCCAAAATTCTGTAGGCAGTAGTGCTCTCAGCATGTGAGCTTCCTCATCTAAACTGCATGGAGTATGTTTCCACCTCTAGATTACAGTGGAAGTTATTGCAGTGAATCACAACTCCAAACAGTTTGCTTGGAGCACTTATCAGCTAAGCCTTGGCCTGCTTCCTGATCACAAATTGACCTTGGATGGTTACTCATAATAAACTACAAGACTGGAATGTACTCTCTGGACATGTTTTGGGAAAGGATCTCTTTGGGACAGATCATGGTCTCTACACCTTCCAGCTTAACATACTATGCTCACTCATCTATTTTTCTTAAGCTGTATGGTTATAGGAGAATTTTGTAGAGGATTTTTGAGCCATAATCTAATTGAAATGCTTGAAGAGCTCAGTACCTTTATGTTTATTATAAAATGGTAGGTAGAAGCCCTTTGCAAGTTGTTCAGTTTGAAGTTGTTTAAGGCTAGGTGGATGACAAATGGGGTTAGCAAGGATTCCTAAGATGGTTGGAGAGCTGACCTTCACTGAAAGTCAATAGGATTGACACTCTTTTCTGTTCTAGTCACTACATTGATTCTTTAAACAGTGAAGTGTGTTCGTAAATTTCACTCTTAGTATTCATGAAAATCTTTAGCTGGTCTGCCTCCACTATTTACTAACATAACCCCCCATTGCCCAGTTATGACAAAAGCAACACTGAAGTGTTACCAATGTGTATGGAGTCACCATCTAGTGACTCCAGAACTCCAGTATCAAACCATTGCTCTATTCCCATTGGAAAACAAGATGTTTTCCTTCAGCAATAGCTTAAAATTCAGTTCAGTGCAGATGTTGCTCTCATGAAATGAACTCACCTTAGAGCAATGGTTGCAAAGCCTTTTAGGAGAAAGCTTTGTAATATGGCTCTTGTACTAACAGTTTAGATTTGTAATTCAAGGTGCAAAACTGCCAAAGCACATAAAAAATAATGTGAAGATCTTGTTATAGATATTTTGTTACAGTAAGGATCAAGCCTAGTTATGTGTGTCTGTGTCTCTTTTTTAAGACTGTCAGAGTCTTTGAGCATCTTTTCTAGTCCTAATAAAATAGCTGAGAATGAAATGAGCATACTTAAATTATAGAATGATTCAGGGCATCATGTTGTTAATAATGTAGAGACATGAGATATAAAAGCTTTTACTCAAGCATACCCTACAGCAAATTTAAGTAGAGCACACAGCTATGATGCTGATTGTTTTCACAGGTGTTGGCACCATATGAATTAAATGAAGAAAAAAAATGGTGAAACATTTATGACTCATTAGAATTATGTGGTTTTCTATCCTGTCCTAACAACTGAAAAAAGGTGTAATTTACATTTGCAGCCAAATGGCGTGAAGTAACATTATACTTTACCGACATGAAAAGAAGAGACTTCCAGATGACTACTATTCTGAACTTCTTTAGTTTTTAAATCCTGGATTTTCAGTTTTTCATGTGGACTTTTGAGAGCTAAAATTATTGCCTCATATAAAAAAAGAAAAAAAAAACCACAATAAAAAAAAGGAATATGGTAACTTTGAATCTATCGAACATGTGGTTTCAAGGAGCTAAGTACTGTTCACTACATATAGCACCTTTACAATCAGAGTATTTCTCTTTTTCAACAAAGAATACACTTAATAGATCCAAAGAGAGCCACATCTGTGTTTTTTTAATAAAAAAACTCTGCATCCTCCTTTTCTTCTCTCCTTTTCAGAGTTTTTTTGTTTTGTTTTGTTTTTTTCCTATCCGAATTGTTTTGTTGTAGATTTTAAATATTTACATAAAGGAGGTATCCTGACAGGCTGATCTATAGCAGGAAAGCAACAAATAAACAAACCATGTCTACAGTATTTTAGATTCTGGTTTCCTGAGCTGCTAAGTGTTTATTTTTCCTATTGTTAAAACCTGCATTGAAATACATTCAAAATGGAGTTCACATGGCAGCTTTCATGCGTCTAATGTTTTAGCAAAGCCATAATGCAAGCCTCAGCTTCCCATACGCTGCATACTTGGCTACGAAAGAAAGCAGTTATTTATCAGAGTCTCTGTGCTGTAGATGAGTCTTCAGAAAAAGAACATGTCATACTTTGCAACTGAGACTTCTTTGCAAACACCTAATAAACCAGGAAAAGAAAGTTTTACTGGGCTTCGTGAGCACATTTTTCTCCTCTCACTAGAGCACCAAACCCAGTTTGTAATCCTACATTCATTTATTTCATCCTCCCCTGAAATTTCTCATAGCACAAGCTCAGTCAGTTCTGGCTGGCTCATTTGCATCTCATGGCCTGCAGTATCTCTTTAGGAGGTGAACTATTAAAAATACATTAGCCTGGTGTGGATGGTAATGGGCCAAATGCTGCTGGTTTTGAAGGCAATCTGGGAAGCCTCATGCTCTCTCTGTCTTGATAGCTGAGCAAGTAAGTTGTTTGTTTTCACTGCCCTTGGACTTTAAAAGTTTTAGCAGCAGATGTAGGTGAGATGATCGTTCTTCCTAAAATCTGGATTGAGAAAAGCACTTTTCTTCCTTTCCAAGCTTGCACTAATCTTTAATGTTACCCTTATTTCTGTTTTGCCAGAACTATGTCCTGCTAGCATCCAAAAATGTTACATATAACTTTGGCTTGCTTACAGAAGATGATCCAACCACTAACATTTGCCTTCTGTAGCTGAATGCTGAAAGAAAAAATAATCCACATTTGAAATGTGAGACTTTGCTGCTGTCAGTTTCTGGAGCTGATTATTAGGGCTGTGATTTTTATCTACTCACTTGTACAGTAATTAAAAGCAATTCCCTCATCAGTTATCATTCTACGAAGCCAGCTTTTAAGTAGTGCTTGATGTATGGTTTATTAACCTAAGCCCACGTTGAAGGAAAGGTGACATAGTTTAAAAAGTAAGAATGAATACATCTGCTCGGAATCAAAGAACTGAATGCAAAATAGATACTTACTGTTAAACTAGCAAAATGACAATGTGAATTTAATTGGCAGAGTTGGAGTAATCGCCTGGCTTGGGCTGGGTATGTACCTTCATTCTGTCTGCTCCCTTTTGTGTCTTTTGTACACGGATTATTTTCTGTGGATTTATCCCATCATGATGGGTAGTTGATTAAAGACTTAAGCAGGAAATCAGGGAATCGATTACTGTAGCATGCGGAAGAGGAAGAGCTGTTCAGGGGCCTGACAATGTCGGCTCTGAAACTGGGATGTTAAATGTTACCTGAGTACTGGGCCTGTAGCCACTAATGCTGTAACTGGGGACATCTATATTGTGGGAAAGAGATGTCAAATAATAGGTAATTAAAGGACATGATGTTTATCTGTGATGATTCTTCTAGGTGGATGCTGGAGTTTTACCATTAGGCTGAAAGTCAGCCAAACTATGAATCTGTCACACTGGACATTTCTTGACCACTGAGAACAGTGTGGAAATGCCCCAGAGCCAAGGTATGGTTAGGATGTTCAGTACTTTTTAACACATTGCATGTGTACAGGACTGGAAAAGTCCTCTAAGGAAATACTGCTGAGAGCGTGATCTTGTGAAAATGCTCAAAGTTGAGAAAAACGGGCGTTTTGAGAAGGTGGTGGTGTGTGGAGCAGGCATTACAAGTCTGTGGAGAATCTGAAGCTGATGATGCTGGAGGAAGGGGACAAACATCTCTGGTGTGAATATGCAGACTGGAGGATTCACTGATGTATGAAGAACAGGGAGATGAGGCTGAAAGTTACCACCAACTTTTCTCTTTCAGATAGAGCAATTTAAAGATGTCCAACAGAACAGCATGGTGTGTGACAGACAGTAAAGCAACTTGCAACTGATGGCCCTTCAGAGAGTGAGGAGCAAGCACCACAAAAGCTTGTGCCTTCTCCCAGCCCCTCTAGGAAGTGAGTGAAGAACTGCATGGATTTTGTTTTAAGTGGAACTAAATGATAATCCCAGGAGATTTAAGAGCTGAGATCATGCAGTGGATACATATTTCACACCTGGGGATAGAGACATGCCTGAGATGAGCCAGGAAATGTATCTGCAGGCCAGGCAAGAACACCCAGTTGCAGTCATACACGGAACAGTGCAAGCTGTGAAAAGAATATAGTGATTGACAAGAAATGCCTCATGAAATTCCAGTCCAGCTCTGTGAAAAGGTCAGAACAGAGTGGTTCATTTCTAATGAAAGAAACTGTATGGCCACAGTAGATTAGTAATCCAGTTTCTGGAAGAGGCACAGGCAAGAACAGTGATCAGAAAACTGAAGGCACAGGCTTTGAGTTATAACATGCTTTACTCCCTGGGACCAAGTGAGAAGGTCCTCATACCCCTTGTTTAGGAATTTGAATATTTTAGGGCAATTTAAAACTCAAGTCCAAGATTTACGTCCCTGAAAATACAGAGCATAGACAGATGGCATTGGTATTAGAGTCAGCTGAAAAAACTGTGATAGTGTTAGACAGATAAGAAGGGGAGTTGGCTTGGTTATTTTGAACCTCATAAATGCTAAATACTCCCGTGCTTCAGACAGTGACATGTGCTTGGATACAGGTCTTGGAGTCTAGGGACAGCATGTCTGCTGATGTCTGGAGCAAACATTATTGATATCTTTTTTTTTTTTTTTTTTTTTACAGCTATTAGGAAATGAAGCAACCACCAACAGCCTGAGCCTCAGAGGCTACTGTAGATACCATAATAACCCTAAAGTTATTAGGAGAGGTAACAGCACAGAAGAAGTCATTGAGTGCAGGACATGAGATGGGTAGAATAAGCAGGAACAATGAAACTTAAGGCACCGTGCAGTGACTGGAATCAAATGTAGCAGCAGGCAATTAAAGTCTGTTAGACTAATGCAGCCAAGACAAGAAGGATGTGAAGTGTGTGATCAACACAAGTGATCCTCTGAAAGGCCCTCAATAATAAAGGAAATCAGGGAAATTAAACAGTGTGGGCAGAACTTGTTTGCTTCAGCACTGGTATCCAAAGTTGTTTTTTCCTAGAACAGCGAAGCCTGCCTGGCATCTGTTTGCCACCCTGGTGGAGTGTCAGTCTGCCTTAGGTCCTGCGTCATACCTGCTATTTCCATGCAGATGTCTTGGATACCTTAAGGCCTCTCAAATGGCACTGGGCATCGAGCGTGGGCAGAGGAATCCTATCCTTTGCTTCTGTAACATTGCTCTTGAAGGGCCACAACAGCTTGGTAATGGCTGCAGCCAAGAGCGGCAGCAGTGAGCAAGTTGGAGAAATACTGAAATGGGTAAGTCTGTGTAATAATTATCTTCAGCTTGGGCTTTTTAAGGCCAGCTGTGGGCCCAGCCCTGCAGCTTCCTGCTTTGGCCAAGAATGAATTGCTTGTGGGGAGCTGTAATTCCCAGAGCAGATGGGAGCTGTCAGGTTCACAGTCAGAGATGATGGAAAGGGATACAATGTGTAACAGCTCCCTCTGGGCAGGAGAGATTGGGGGGAGACAGGTGGGTCTCTCCAGCCCAGGAGAAAATATCACAGATAAAGATGCTTTTGGAAGATGCTTTAACAGGCAATCAGGTGTCTATGTAAAATACCCAGAGGAGAAAGTAATTAAAAGAACTGTATTTGATTCAAAAAAAAAAAAAAAAAAAAGACTTGAAGAAGACTGAGTCTGAGAATGAACTTAATCACTAGGGTGCCCTTGAAGTTTATCAGACCACCTAGAGGTGCAATATCCTAGACAAGTAAGAAGTTCTGAGAAATACCCTTCATCTAATCTTTTTTTTATTATTTTTCCCTACATTAGAAAGATTGAAGTGTTTTGGTTTGGTTGGAAAACTGAACTAGTTTGCCAGAGGGAAAGTGGAGGAAACTAGAACATTTTCCCAAAGAGAAGGTAAGGCCCCACCACACCTTGCAACATCAAATCTTTAATCATGTACCTGCCTGTATAACAGCAGCAGTATTCAGTGTTTCTGTAACATTATTCATGCAAGAATTTCAAAGCACTTCATAAGCACTAATTAATCAAACCTCACAAACACTCAGCAAGCAGCAACTTTGCCCACCAATGAAGTGTAATCACTTCTAAAATGGAACACGATGGCAGTTTGATATCACATAACATGATGCAACAGGTCAAGGCAAGTAGAGCAGGAGCAATTGAGGGCACCTGGGAAGTACCCATTCTTAAAAAGTTTTGCAGATACAGTGCCTCTGTTACCTTAGATATACTTTGTTGGAGCTATTAGGTAGAACTTTTCTTGTGAAAAAGCACTTTTCATGTTACTCCCACAAGAACAATTTGAAATATATTTTTTTTAAATTCCTAGTGGAGTTCCTAATGCTAAAGGCAAATATCTGCACTTTGCAGGGACAATCCATCAGGATGTTTTCACTGTAGGTCATTGTAGGCCCTGGTGTTTCCACCTCACTAGTCAGTGGCACCTGCAGTACTAGACATCATGAAATAAAATATTCTTGTGTGGCTCTTGACCTCCAAGCTCTCCCAGACGAGGTTCCTTGGACAAAGATGAAAGCTTTGTCAGCTATTGCAGGCACTAGCTTCAGTTCTGCTAAATTTTGAGAGACCTACTGGCCCTGTTGCTTTTAGTACTTTACCTCCTGAATGTGTTTCATAATACTGTGATCCCCAGCCACAAACCCTGGTCCAGTGCAGATGTCATAAGGTCGAAATTAAGGACTTCTTTAGGCTCAGTTAAAGCCATCAAGCATTCCAGTTGACTCCAATGAGAGAAAGACTGGGCCAACCTACTTTCTTTATAATTCCACCAATCTAATCTTGAGGGGTGGATTCAGACGTGTATCTGTTGCTAACACGCTGAGCACATATATTCCCGATTAAACATATTCTGATCAACCTTGAGCTTTCCCTGTCTATAGGTAAAATACCTCTGTAGTTCAGGTCTCCTGTCCCATCACTCAGTATCTCCTTTGGAAGTAAATGGGACATGATTTTATTTGTTGATGTCTCACAATAAAACTTTATTCTCCTTGTGTAAAACAATGTGCAAACCATTAAGTAGAATAATGAAATGCTGGAAGTTAAAACAATAAGTTTGGATGATTTAAACCTTGCTACATTTTAAAAGTGCAATATGTTTGCAAGAATGAATTGGTCTTTGGGGCTGAATAAATAGTACAGTTATCCAACCCCCTTTGGAAAGAGCTAGTAATACCTAGGAACATAATTTAAACCAGTGTTTTAATTAGTTGGTCATTTCACATTACTAGAGTTTTGGAATTGTTTTTTGACTTTATAAATGATCCATATAGTCATCTTCTAATTATACATGATATGTTTAAAAAAAAAATGCAAGAAACTGGATGAGAATCTTTCTTTTTTTGCAGAACAGTTAAGAGTAAATTATTTAGATGGATTATGTGGTACATTGTCCATTAATAAGTTTTTGCAAACTTATTTAAAACCTAAGAAGTTCCTTAAACCACATCTTCAGGATATCATAATTCTTCCTGACTTCACTCCCTGGACAGGAAAGAAACACTGTATTTTAAGTTCAAAATTCATTTCACTGTACATCTAATTGATAAATATTGGGCATTACTGTGAAAGCAAAAAGGTGCTTTGTTCCTGCTTATGGTAGAAACTGTAGAAGTAAAAACTCTATAATAGCAATTCAAATTCTTGCAAGACTCAGAAGCTAGGAGGACTAGAGCTTTCCTTGGGAATTTTCTTGTCTGTAGCTTAGGGTTTGAAAATTGTCCTGACTTTCACGCTGGGCTAACCTCATAACAGGCCAATATTGAGACGGAAATCTGAGCTGTCTTAAGGCTGCTCTTAGTTGTCACTACCTTCATAAAGTCCCCAAAAAATCATTTCCGTTTCCAGGGATCTGGGCAAATTGTTCCCAACATCAGTTTTCTTAGAAGTTTGCGGGTAGTGGTTTAGTAAGCAATATGTTGTAAAGGAAGGCATTCTAAAGTTGCAACATACTTTTTGTTTTTTGGTTTGTTTTTGCTATTTTTTTTCCAAATCCAGCATTCTCCTCACAGAGCATGAAGGTACAGTTACTAGGTTAAAAGGACTTTTTGCCCATTTCATTCTAGCTGATTACAGTAAAGTAGTCACAGTAGGAGGCCAGTATCTGGACCTGAATTTCAGCTGCATGCAATAGAGAGGATTCCTTAGTTTGATATTAATTAATATCATAATTAGTATCAGCATATCTTCAAATACAACTGCTGAGTGAAATCACTTCTAGGAATGTTCTAGACTGAATTATGATAGCATATTGTGAAATTTTGGCTAAAGTTGCTGTTGTGTGAGAGGCTTCTGAATGCATAGATTTTGGCTCTCTAATGAGCCTCTTTTCACCAACCTAAAAATTAAGAAGTATTTTTTCATATACGGAATTATTCTTTATTCTCCTAGCTCCACAACTTCAATCAAAATCAACACTAATCATAGATTTGCTGTAATGATAATAATAAAAGCTACAAACCTATTGTCTTTATTCACACACACTAAACACATACACTAAACATTAGAAGTTGGGGGTGAAGATTGAAAAATACAATCTTACATGTTGAGGAAGAGTCAGACCTGCTGTCTCCCCTTGAAGTCACCTAGGTGAGGCTTTTTGACAAAATGGAAGCATCAATGAACTACTCTTGATTAAATGCTTGACAGGTTGACACTATCCCCATGAACAGGAAGACTGGGGTTGAAAGAAAATTTTAATACAAACAGAATTTCATTAATACCACAGTTTGCTGCAATGGCGGTCTTTTTTTCCCCTACTGTTATTTTTGCTTAGATGGTGTCATTACCTTTTAAAGGGGAAAGACGCTATGGTTAAGCTTTGTCTCAGAAAAAAATGTCATACTAACAGGGGGGGAGCTTTCAAGTAAAATCAAAAAACAAGCATGGAACTGTTCTGATTCTTCAAGCACAAATTAAACTAGTTTTAATAGGATGGTTCCTTTAAATGCAGACTCTTTTATTGAGCCAATATTTATTTTGCAGAGAGGGTACTGAAATTCATTAAGCAGTATAAAATAATCAATATAAACGGTATTGGAATGGTCTTACATCTCCCCAGATCCAAAAATACAGCCTCACTTCACTTTATTTACCTTCTGAGAGCTCTTTTTTCTAATGTGGTAACTGTTAGACTCTATCTGCTCTGCTCAATGTTAGGGCTGTCATGATGAAAGCGCATAAACAATATAAATAATAGTTGTTGGCACATGAAAGGAACTTGGAGTGGATTGTTCTTTTGGAATCTAACTGTCAGGGCTTTTGTTTGACTTTCTGGGATTTTTTTTTCTATTTTTCATGTTCAGTCCAAAAATTCTTATAATCTTAAATTGATTATTTGAAAAGCCATCATCTTTTAATATTTACATTGGAATTGAATATTTATAGCCTGATGCCAGGCAATTCTTATACAATTTAGTAAATATTTATTAAATCAGACTTGTTTTTTAAGACTTACAGTTTTGTAACTACTCTCTAGTGCTAATACTCTTTGAAGCAGAATGTCAGCCTGCACAAGTCAGTTTCTATGTTGTCTTTCCATTCCTCATTTGCAGTGATCCTTTTGGACTTCTTTTCACTGATAAATAGTTAAATAGTCTCATTCAGATCCTTGAAATTATCAGATTATATAACCTCCCATTCCATTCCTCCTACCCATCACCTCTGAAATGTAATATTTACTTGTGGATTTTTAGCTTCTCATTTGCCATTTGCCTTTAAAACGTTAGTTGAACCCACAGCATCTCTCCTTGTGATGCATTTTTAATTCTTCATTTGCAAGCAAGTAAACTGACTCACTGTGAGTTTATAGTAAATATTTTCCTGATACCATTTAATTGTGAATGTTTAATGCACAGCTTGAGATGTTTACCACCTTATTGCAGACTCATTCTAACTCTTTTTTGAAGAGAATAGGTGCTGAAGTACTGACTCATGTACATCTTCTCAGTTTGGAAATCTAAAACTGAGCCATCTAAATC